TATGATAACTGAAATGTCACTGTTTTACAAAATTCTGGTAAGCTAATTCTAAGACTAAGAAGAGTAGGTCATTTGTACTTCATTGTAGGCCAATTTTATGCTATTCAATTCAGTAGCATGAGCTGCACCTGTGACACCTGACTTACAACTTCTGTGATGAGATTATTAGTTGTACACAAAAATCAATAAAACAAAAAAATATATATATAAATAGATGTATACCGTTAAAAGCTTTAAATTATTTAGAATAAACAATTGTGGTTTCCTGTAACAATATGCAAAAATCAAAAAACATTTGATATTTATTTAGGAGGTTTTACAGATTATGAAAACGAAATCTGACAATTTTTAGATGAAGAAAAATACTTTTAATTTTAAAATCAAAATCACTTTGCATCTTGTATAGTCAACATTCCAAAAGTAAAAATCACAAGCAAGTCTTTAATTAAAATAGATAATTAAAAATATGATATTTTGTGTACTTGTAATGTTTACTGATAGTCTGTGAAATTTCCTGAAGATTTGCAAACATTATCAAAAATTATATATGACTAATATCATATTCAATTTGTTGGTTACATAGTAGGTGCAATGTAAACATTACCAAAAGTTATAGTATGACTAATCTCATGGTTACTTTAGTAGTTATATAGTATAGCCAAAGAGTTAACTGCAAACATTAGAAGATAACATTGAAAACAGAGATGTTCTATGACAACCCTCACACAGAACTTGTCATTCTTGTTCTAAACATGGTGAAACTATGCCTTACATAAGGTATAGATTTGGTTTTCTATTCTTTTAATTACAAGTAAAAATTTTTACAAATTAGGTTTCAAATTATTTTCATTAATAATAATAAAACTGATTTTTTTCAATTATCAAAATTTGCTTTAGATTGTTACTTTATCAACACTCTAGTTGTTAGTATCTGAAACAAGATCTTTTTAATTTAATTTCTTGCAACCTTTTTTTTTCTGTCTGCTAAAATTGCTATAATTTTTATTCTTATGCTATATAGTTTTAATTTAATATATTGCATGAACTCTCAGTTAATTTTATTGGTAGGAAGATATGGGGAAAAATGGCTAAGGGAACACAGACATTATTTTTAGGCTGAAAAATGAATATAAAATTTGTTTCCTGTTAAAGAGTTCTGAGTGTAAATATATCACAGTTGGCAACATGCATATTAAGTAAGTAACTGAACTTTCTTACTGGTTAATTTTTTAGTGAATAATGACAGAATTTTGAAAATGGACAAGTTAAATGTGGACAAAGAAGACTGTTTTTGTCTACTGCACTTTATTGCCAATTACCTTGAAGATATGAGAATGTTATGTGAAATACTAATTAGTGTTTAGTATTCCAAAAACTTACATGTAGCCGACCAAACCCTGAGAAGAAATCAGATAAAATATATAAGAAGCTTTGTGATTTAATTCAAGCCCATTACCATCCACAGCTTTCACCAATCATTCAAATGCTTAAATACAACTCTCATTTTAGAAAACCAGGTCAGTCAATTTCTGATTTTGTAGCTGAATTGAGATTCCTTGCTAAGTATTGTGAATTTTGGAGAATTTCAGAGTAAATGTTTCATGATAGGCTTGTATGTAGTGTACAGGATGATAAAATCTAGCAGAGGTTGTTATCAGAATCTAAATCTATCTTGAATTCTAAAAAAGTTATGGACATAGCTTGCACAGACAATGAAGCTAGTGGGAAAAAAATGGGTATTGATATTAAGTCAATTCTGATAACCACACCTGTTATATGAGGAAGGAAAAAGATGGTGAAAAATATTCACAATCAGCTTCAAAGTAAGCAGAGTAGTAAACTAGCAACTAGGCATAATGATAAGCCTTGCGACAAACAGAAAGGTGATCAACTCTTGAAAGATAAACACCAAACCTGTTTTTGCTGTTTTGGCACTTCTCACTCATCAAATAAGGAAATTAATTGTTACTACTGTTGCAATAGAGGACACATTGAAACATAAAGAAGAAGTAATTAGGAAAACAAACTGAAAAATCTAATGTTCATGAAACATAGTATAAAATAGAAATAGAAGCAAAATCAATATACATGGCATGATTCAGATAAATCACAACCACTGTTGGAAGAATTCATGATAAATATCAGAACTGTCTAAATGGATATATTATATATATATACATATTATAAATGGATATTATATATATATATATATTATGGAGCATCAGTTTCAATACTAAGTTCTAAGACTTACAAAGAAACCATGTCCAGTTTAATCTTCCCTACAATACAAAGGTCTGATGCTATGTTGCATACCTGCACAGGAGAGCAAATCAAGATACATATATACAATACAACAAGCAGAAGACAAGAGCTCCGCTCATGGTTGTTGATAGGGAAGGTCCAAATCTGACTGGTTATGATTAGCTGTAAGTTTTTACATTGAAGTGCAAAGAAATATGTTATCTCAGCACACCAGTATCTCATATTTCCATACTAGAATGGTAACAAAGATGTGCTTGAAGGAAGATTTGGGATGACAAAAGACATAGCTGGAAAAGCACATGTTGATGCAGATGCTAAACCAAAGTTTTTAGCTTTGGCCAATGTTATAAAAAAAACGCTAAGGCAAAATGAACCAAAGCCCATTGAGTTTGAGGAGGAAGGCAAGCAATAGTGGTAGAAGGTTGTGCAGACCCCAGCCCCAGGGTCCTCAAAAACGAAATTAATTGTAAGAAGTATAAAATATAATTAATTACAAAAATGAAAAAGTTGTTATATTGTAAAATTAAGTAAGTGTATATTGACAACAAAAAATGTAGTAGATGGGATTTGTTCATGAAACAATATATTTAACCTAATATATAATTTACCAGCAAGATGAATGACAGGTAAACCTAAAATTACAGAGACACATGTTAAGCCTAAACTAACGTTATAGTACAAAAATATATATCACTAAACGTTGATTAAAAAACCCTAACCATACAAGAAGTAGGTACAAATCTAAGAAAACATATGTTATTGAAACCAAATAACTACAAATAATAATATTAAGATCAAAATATTCAAAAAGCCAGAACAGTATTACAACTGTCCAAAGTCAGCAAACCCAAATGTGACAAAGGTCAACTCATATAACGATCAATTTCCCAATGTATTAGAGCTGACAATTTCTCAGTCAATAACTGCCACCCTGAAGCCTAGGATATTGTGCTGGAAGTAAGGGATACTTTCGAAGTGGGAGCATAAGCTTCGGTAAAAAAATTAGAATATATATTCACTTCGTATGATATTAAAAAAACAAGTGAAGTCACATTCATCAGAAGGGTGTGTCATACTCCTATTGGTGGAGGATTGTCACATCATGATTTGCATACAAGACACAGTTGAACCACATTAATCTTAGGGTATGTGGGAGCTCAAAACTTGTGCCATGCACAAAAAATTTTGATATAGAGGCAGCACTGAACAAGAATAGTTATTTATGTGAAAAGAGGTAATGTACCGTATCAGAAGTGTAGTGTTAATATATTATAAAAATAAAGGGCATGATATATTTAATAAATTAGAGAAAAAAAGCTTTTATAAAACTCACATTAAATTCCAATTTCACAAGAGGGGAAGGTGAAACAGAAGAAACTTGTTCCCATTCAACCTCTAAATCATCACAGCCTTCCATTGATGCTTGATCATCAATCTTTAATGCTGGAGGTTTTCTTTTTGGACTATTTCGAGAGTGAACACCTGAAATTACATTTAACTGTCAATAAAAAACCTAAAAACATTTACCAAATAAATAGTAAACTAAGATACCAATTACAAAAGCAAAAGCATTAAAAAATAAACTTTTTATGGAAATTCAGTAAAGGATAATGATCAACTAGAACATTACAAAACTCACTAAATCAATTCTAATAAACTTATTTTTATTAAAGAGCAGTTCTAACTAATCCTTAAACAATCATATCAATTATCCGTGTTTGTAAATTTTACATTATTTTCTAAACTGATATATATATATATATTTGGGTGGTGGTAAAAAATGCAAAATAAAAGAAATATACTATCAAATTAATATTAAATGTTAAATGATAACAAACTTTTTTTTTCAACAGAGGACTTTATCAAAAAACCTGTGTTGGAATTCCATTTTCTCACTTTACTGATGAACCCAAGCAAACACATGAATGCCTGTAAAATATACTTGTAATATTCTGTACTAATTGCTACTGACCATGACAACATATTTAAATAGTGTTCCATTTATTATGGCCATAAATTAACAACAGTTACAGTAACTAAACTGTATGGATTCGACCTAATCAAACTGATGGATGAAGTTATCTATATCCAACCAAATTAAGTGGATATCACAGAGAAAATATATGAAATCTATCCCAAATAACATTAAACAGAAAAAAGTAGATGAAACAGTTGTGACAGAAAAATATTTTAAACTGAATTATCAAATTTTATTGTTTTTAGGAGAAATTTCTGAAAAGTAAAGCAAACAATAACAAATTAAAAGTTTATACTTGAAAATTTATAAATCCAAAAGTACTTAATCAACTCATTAAGTGAAAAAATTGCTATTTTCCATGAAAGAAGGCTATAAAACTCCACATCTTTTCTATTGTTAAACTCCAAACTCATATCTTGTTTTATTGAATGATACCTTTTAAAATTCTAATTCGATGACGAGGAACCCACTTTGAGACTAATAATGGCTGGAGACGGCTTAAATGG